ATATCAACAGTGGTATATCATCGGTTATTGACGTTATGTGAGAATATGCCACACTTCCTAAATAATGGTATATATATATATATATATATATATATATATATATATATATATATCGGCGTATTATATATATATAAATGGAAACCAAAAGAAGTTAATTAGCTATAAAATAATTTAAGAAAATGACAAATGGCCGTAAAAATCATATCTTTATTTCAATTTTCTTGGTCCAATATTCGCGGACATTTTTGAATGAAAGCATTTTTTCATATTGCTTTATGAAATGAAAAATAATAAATCATTATATAAAATTAATCTTGTAAATAAATGATATAATTAATAGTTTGTAACATTTTTGTTATTAAATTTCTACACGTAGCTTTTTAAGACATTCCAGGGGCGGGGGTCGTAGAAGTATACAGCAAAAGCGGTGTCAAGGGAAAAAATGTTCCACTGACATACCGTTTTTTGTGGTTACAAACTTTACTCCATTCATCCAAAATGTAAAAACAGTAGAACCGTTATTTTTTTATGGATCTTACTAGATTTTCATCGTAATAAAATTGACCTGTGAAACTGATTTAATGTCGTCTGTTAAAAAATGTCTTAGCTATAACAGAATCCAATGAAGAAATCAACCTTTTACATTGCCCTCTATTAAAATATTTACGCGTACCTTTTCCGCAACAACCTTCCGAGCTCTACTCACTCACCATAAGCCATTTTCCCTTGCGTCATACTTAATCGTCAGTCTTGATGGCAATCCAAAAATAAAGTCATTCTCTTATAAAACAAATTGGCTACTTTAAGTCATCATCAATCATTCAATTAGAAAAAAAAGAAAGAAATACGCACTGATAGGATTGTTTGAGAATACGTTTTGCGAAAAAAAAATTAATCTAAAATCTTTCAAGAAGAAAGTTGGTTAGGTTATGACATCATCCATTTGCATATGTTTGGAAGAAGCTCACATAGCAAATGACGGATCAGGTGACAAAGAATCTATGTCAACATTTGTATTCCTGATAATTCTTTTCAAAAGGAAAACAGGTAAAAAAAAAAAAAGAAAAAAAATGAATGCTGTCAAAATCATTTAAATAATGTATCTCCAATCTATGGCCCGCGGGCCACATCCGACGCGCTGTAATATTTTTATTTATTTTTTTTCTGAAACATCTAATGCTTGTGATAAAAAAAACGTTCCAAATAAGGCTTACTTCTTTCATTTAAATTTGATACATATACTTATAGAATATATTTTTCTTCAGCTCGTGGAATTTTATAAAATATACGATCTGCCCATGTACTGAAAGTTGCAGGTTTGAAGGTGTAATATACCTATTGGATAGAGACAAGACAACACTATAATATATATGACTGATCGATCATATTTCCAGATTTCATCCATTTTACTTAAGTAGGCACAGGAATTCTAGTGAAAAATGACGTGAAATTTCACATTGCTTTGGTCACATTAAGCCTACCATTTCAGGCTAAACAAAAACATAATCTTCGCATAATTATGCAACTGGTACCGCACCTCAATGTCAAAACAGGTTTATTTGGTTTGAACGCAGGCATCTTTTCTCTCCGTAAATGAAGTAGCTCAGAATAAGAAATAAACGAACCGGGTTCGAATTCCAACCGAGTTCATTACATTTATTTTCATATAAATATATTTGGGAAAGGTCCGAATCTATCTCTCCTCTCACCAGCTATGAATTAAACAGCATAGTAGAATGGACGCTGTAACCAAGGTTGTTAACTAGTTGAAGAGAATGAAAACTCTGAATTCAATACACCGTATGTAACCCTGGAATCACCATTGACAACAACATGGTGTTCACAAATTTTTTATGATCAGAACTGCAGTCGACCTCCGAGTGCGTCGATGTCACATGTTACCTACATGAAGCATTTCTTTTTTTTATCAATTCACCCCAATTAAAGCGATGACGCCACTAAGACACAATAGGCTATTGGGAGAGAAAGACAAGGAAGATATTTTAGAAGGAACCAGGAACCTAATACTGAACAGGAAACAAGGAATAAACTTTACTCCTGTTCAAAAGACCAGGGACAAGTCGAATAACGCTATTTAGATATCATCTGGTCACATATGACATTTAGACGTACGCACATAGAAATAAGTACCCATAAACACATATATATATTTTACACTGGATTCCGGAGTAAAGAGTTCGTCATCAAATGTGCCGCATTATTATTATTATTATTATTGTTATTGTCATCATCATCATCATTCGATTTCTGCTATGGACACACTACCTACCAAGTCTGCGGAAAGACCTAAGGCAGGTCGTGGTGTGTTGTTATGGCCACATTTCGGTGAAGTTGCTAGCGTTACATAGACAAAGTTCTCCTTAGTGTGTGTGCTGTACTTAATAAGACAATTTTCTGTATGTCTCTTAAGCTGGGGTTTCCAGGGATTCTTTCAATGTGTTGTTTTGTTCCATTTTTTATAATTCCAAGTGCACCTATTACCACTGGTATTATTCTTGTTTTCAATTTCCACATTTTTCTATTTCAATTTCCAGGTCTTTGTATTTTGATAGTTTTTCAAATTCCTTGGTTGCTATGTTACAATCCGCTGGACAAGCCATATCAATTAGTAGGCAAGTTTTTTTCTTTCTGGTTTTTTGACAATAATGTCCGGCCTATTTGCTTCTTCTTCTTCTTCTTATTATTATTATTATTATTATTATTATTATTTGTGTATGTTATGTTTCCTTCTTTATCCTGTATAGTCGAGTTCAAAACTATGGTCCTTAGGTCCTATAGGAGAATTGTCATTTAATTGATAACACATTTCTTCGTATATGGGATGATCCTGGTAGGGCGATTTTCTGGGCAATTTGTATTTTGATGTTACCTGGGACACTGTTAGTAAAAATGTCCATTCCTCTTCTCACGGGGCTCCGATTACTATTGGTACTGACTCAGTCTTCATTTCTCACATCCTGTTAATCTCTATCCCCAGGTTCTTGTATTTGGACAATTACTCGATAATTTTTATGGAGGTGTTTCTCTCAGATGGTTATGCTATGTCAATAAGCATACACTTCCTGAATTTCTTGTCTGTTATGATAATAACAGGTCTGTTTGCATTTATTTCCCTGTCAGTTTGAATTGGCATCCCAATGGATAGTTACATCATTATTTTGCTAACTGTGTCTGGTTGGTGTTCCTACCTTCTGTCAGTTGTTTCGATTTTGAGCGTTATGCATATATTCCAGTGAACATATGTCGCTACCTTGTTATGTCTGTGGGTATATTCATTTTTTACCAATTCCGGACATCTTGAGATAATATGGTTGACAGTTTCAACATATTTCCGCATATGCTGCATTTCGGGTTAGTTGCTTTTTTGATTATGTGACAATGATATGATCTGATTGCGAGGCTTTGGTCATGAGCTGCAATAATTAGTCTTTCTGTCTCAGTTTTCAGCCCGGTGCTTCTCAACCAATAATGTTTTTTTGTTTTTTTTCTGTTGGTCCAATTCTTTCGTTATTTTATGTAGTTGCTAGGCAACGCCTTGATCTCCCATATTTTTTTTTTTTTGTAATTTCATTTAACCAAGTTATTTTGTTTTCTGTATTACTCGTTTAGTGTAGATTGTATTCGCTTCCTTTTTTCTTGGTAGGACTTCTGGTATATTATTATAATTATTATTGTTATTATTATTATTATTACTTTAGAAAATAAACAATAAATAATAAAATATTTTTTAAGTATAAAATTGTCATCAAATCTATAAGAACATATTTTATTATGGATGTTATTAAAAATGTTCAGAAAATAAATCATGGAGAAAGAAAATGACTACTTTGATCTGACGTAGTGGAAGTGCTTGCGTGGTCCAGTGACTGAGGGCGATGCCGTCGGGACTGTTAAACTCCTGGTAGAGCGGGGTCGATAGCACCTGTTAAGCTCCCAGCTATGAGCAAATAGTGAACCACAGCAAAAATCAATAGTACTTTTTTATATAATAAAATGAGCCACAATATATTTCCATAGAAAAAATGACAATCAGTGCAACACTATAAAATATAAAAACACATTTTATATCAAATCACCAACAATATATTTGATGATCTACACAATATATAACTTAAAAACTAACCTGAAAGTATAAAATTATGTACAAAATATCTGCAGTTGAAAGCATAAAATTAAGTATTAGGTTGGTGCAAAAATAATGTCGTTTTTGACGTTCAACTTAACGTCAAAAACGACATTATTTTTGCACCAACCTAATACTAAATATTTAATCTTCGACAATAAATAACCCATGAATGATGATATGCCGCTAAAAAAAACAACCAATACACCTATATATAGTAAAATTACCAATAATACATCTTTAATGCAAAATGACCAACAAAAGATTTGAAAGCATACAATTGCGTTTAAAAATATATTTAGTTCAAGCCATAAAATCATGTACAAAATATGTCGATTTCGACATTAAATAACCCATTGAGGTGTTGATATGCCACTAAACTAAGTCAACCAATCAGCAATGCCTATTTATCGTAAAATTACAAACAATACATATCTAAAGCAAATTGACCAACAAAACATTTTTTGCAGTTGAAGGCATACAATTGCGTTTAAAATATATTTAGTTCAAGCCATAAAAATTCTTTCAAATATGTACCTTTTGGCATTAAATAACCCATAGAGGTGTTGATATGTCGCTAAACTAAATCAACCAACAAACCGATCTTGTAGAATATGTTTTCTAATGCTTGCATTTTTTTAAAAGAAATAAATATTTTTTAGCATTTGGGAAAAGATCATTATGCGTTTCAAGTCCCCATTTTTTTAAAAAAATTGTGCCCGAAATTTTGTCTTTAAAGACAAGTGACATACATTCTTGTCTCTTTCGATTCATGACAGAAGCTTTACCTTCAGAAAGTTGTTGTTTCTTTTTGCGGTGAAATTAATAAAAGCGTTACTCTTTCCAGTTTAGCCTTACATTGAAACAGCGGTTCCCGTACAAGCACTGAAGTTAAGCAACGTCGAACCTGGTGAGTACCTATATGGGTGACCATTTGGGAGTAGCAAGTGCTGTTAGCTTCGATGAGCTTGGTGAGCGTGCTGGGGTTAGATTTTTCGATTGAGCACTACGAAATAACGTTCAATCAAACTTTTACTCCGTGGGTTTAAATATTAAAAATTGGATTAAATTTTCTCTTACAATGAAAAAGTATTTTTATATTTTCGATTTTAATCAGCAAAGTGTTCATAAGCCGTAGAAAATCAATTCATTTAATTAGCAACAAAAGAAAAGGATAGCGGATGTTCATTGTGTTGTGGAGAGACATGATTGCGCACGTTCTTGAAGGAAAGCGGCACACGAAGAAAGACGATAGGAGAAGGTCAGCGTTAGCGAACCGAACCCATTATATTAGCCAATTAGCAGCGAGATTTGTTTAATAACCAGCTCACTATAGTGGATGCCAGGGCCATTATATACGTAATGCCTCTAATTAATGCAATGTGATTTATTTTAATTGCGCACTTTTATTCATTACTTAGGTTTTAATTTCTGACAACTTTCTTGATGTTACGAGAGTGTGTATAACCAATGAGGCCAAGCTGATTGCTCGGTTAATGCTGTCTACCAATAATTTACTGCTTTCTTCTGTTAGACTGATGCGAAATTTTACAGATTATATTTCAGAAAATCTTCTATTCCTGTAAATTCAGAGTGTATGGATGTTAGTTTACACGCCTATATTAATCAACCACAGTTAGAAATATAATTTCGCTGTAGGCCACAACACTTTTTTTTTAAAACACTTCCAAACAAACAAAAATTGAACGAGGAAGAGGAAAATAACATACTAGTTAAAAACAAAATATCCAACACGTAGGGGAATAATGAAATATGTCTTCAGGAAACTAAGCAAAGTATTAAAACATAGGAAATATTTTCAGAAAAAACAATACAGAAATGACTACTGAACAAGTGGTTATCTAGTCACTAGAAGGAAGAGCAACACACGTGTAGATGAAAGAAGAGAGGTTTATTGTAAAAGAGAATACACTACTGAAAGACGGAATCAGGTGGCAGGCTAGTAATTTCCGAAGTCACCCCCCACCAGTTGTATCATGTGCTCACTATATATAGCTAATGATATAATCAGTCCACATAGGCGATAGGGAGTGTGGGACATTCCATTACAACATTTATATGGCAATGAATATTCGACAATTTCTTCGTAGAAGAAAACACTTGAGACAACAGGAATAAGGCATTTCTTAATAATACTAAAAGATACCATGAACAGAACACGTGAGCAACGAGAGAAACAAGAAATCTATATTTATAATCAGAAAGAGACAGCATAAATTACTTTCAATTTTGGTAATTATAATCTAAGTGTGTCACCGAAGTTTAAGTATAGGTTCAAGTGTTCTGTGAAATAAAATAAAATGGTTGAAAAACATTGGCTTAGAGATTAACACAAAAGCAATATATGCATTGTATTTAACTGAAACAGATGCGTCTCGACTCGAATATAAATGGCAAATACTTACCTATTCCCGAAAGAAAATCTTATAGACTCAAGTATAAGCACCAATATTCACCCAACCGTAGACCAAACATATGCTTATAGATTTGTTTACAGAATACCCAATATGCCTCTTCTTCTCTGTGACGTGTCTCTTCAGTATGTTGGCGATAATGGCTCTCCACAACTTCTCATTATTTGCAGTGGATAGGAATGCCAGTTTTTTTTTGTTTTTTTTTTTTCACAATCCCACCAATTTCTCGTTCTGTCATGCATTTTCCGAATCTTATTTAAGTTACTCACTGCTCACCTTTTGTCACTCTTGGATTCAGTATGTTCTGAGTATACCTCTTTCATGATAATAAACTAGAATTTTTCTCTCTATTTTATTCTAAGTATAAGGGACCATTTTACTTCCATTTTCCTGCATAATTATATATTCAATCCATGGGATTCTCAGCATCCTTCTGTAGAACCACATCGTTGTTGCTTGAAGATTCTCCTTCATTTATAAGGAGATTCTTCATCATGACTTGGTATATGGGAGGACAGATATAACATAACGGTAAGGCACACTGTTTTTTGTCTTTAATTCCATTTTCATGCTTCTAAATACTTCGCTTAACTTTTGAAAGATAGCTTTTGCTATTCCAATGCGCCTCTGTTACCTATAGCCGACACAAGTAAATGCTTCCGGACTCAAATACTAACAAATAAATGTTTACCTATCTCTGAAATAAGTAAATGCTAATACTCAAATATAATTTGGAAAAAAAAATGCGATATTAATTATTTAACCGGTAGTGATGTGCAAATTAAATCATATAATCTTACCCAGGATATCACATTTTCGTACGCTTGTCGATAATTAAAATTATCTTAACTCGTTTTAACCCGTATAAATTTCACGGTTCCCCTATTCTAATTTTCTGATGAATCTTAATTGTTTAGTTAATGATTAAATGATGAGTTCTATGAAAATAAAATATCCGAAGAAGCTCTCCTATCACATCGTTAAATATCTGACTTTAATAACTTTAACAAAATATTGCAATAACTATCATAAATATGAATGCTGGTTATTATTTTAAGAAGTAAAGGGGTACAAATGAAAAGATTTGAAAGCTGTTTTTTTTTTTTCATTTCACAGAAGCAGCCGTTAAACACTTCTATCTTTCTCTTTTTCTTTATTCTTATTTTTCTAGGAATTCAAAACGGAATTGTCCATTATTTATAAGGTATTGGCAGGAGATGAAAAAAACATATTTCTTTCTTTCTTTCCTTTTTTTCTTTTTTTCTTTGTTTCTTTCTTTGTTTCTTTCTTTGTTTCTTTCTTTTTCCTTCCTTCCTTCCTTCCTTTCTTTCTTTCTTTCTTCCTTTCTTTATTTCTTTCTTTGTTTCTTCCTTCTTTCCTTCCTTCCTTCCTTCCTTCATTTCTTTCTTTCTTTTTTTTTTTTCTCTCTTTCTTTCTTTCTTTCTTTCTTTCTTTCTCTCTCTCTCTCTCTCTTTCTTTCTTTCTTTCTTTCTTCCTTTATTCCTCCCTTTCTTTCTTTCTTTCTTTCTTTCTTTCTTTACAAATCCCCAGCCTCTGAAAAATAGGTCACAATTTTAGGTTACAATTCCTTCTAGGCCTTCTGAATTCAGAATTATTGATTAATCCGATCTCTCTCTCTCTCTCCCTTCCTATCTCTCCCCCTCTCTCTCATTCTCTCTGCTTCTATCTTCCCTCCTTTCTTTCATTTCCTGACTGAAGCCAATGTTATTTATCTCCTCACGGGATCAAAACAGACTAGTCCATTATTTTTTTTAGGTAATAGCAGGAGACGTTAAACAACTATTTTTCTTTTTTCCATCCCAGTGAAACCAAGTAGCATCTCTGGTAAGTCTTTTGTCTTTCCACATATATATGATATCTGTAGAGGCCGGCAGTAAGCCTTGTCAATGGCGGTAATATCAATCTGAAGGAATGGTGTCTTTACGGATAACCTTTTATCTTCATATTTCTTAGAAGCATCTCGAAGAACAGCACAATAAAGCTGTTTTTTTTTTTGTAATAATGCCCTGCATTTATGATGATTATATTACCAAAATTTAAAAAGGCTTATAAGTTTTTAGGCTACAGTGATAAACCCAACCAGTACTTCTGCTATCACGCTGTAACCATCTATATTACCTTCGTTGATCATTTACGTGAAGTAACCTAACCTCTAATACTTACCTGGCACAGGGCTCGTCCCTGCGCTGATAGTATCACGACTACGACTAGCTTGGACCAGCTCGGGTCTGGACCAGCTATGACAAGCCAAGACCAGCTATGACTAGATTAGACCAGCTCTGACCAGCTTGGGCAAGCTATGACCAGCTAAAACCAGCTTGGACCAGCGGCCCGAGTGAAAACACTCGAGTCCCCACGTTAAAAACCAACCCTGTGTCACAACCTGTAAATATCTACTTACCTGGAACATGCCGCGTAGGGATTATCATCTCGCAGTTGTACCTTTGTAGTCGGGCAGAGCGCAACTCAGTTGTGCCTCTGTCGGAGGACATAGACGCAACTAAGGAAAATAATACTGCAAGCTACCCATCTTTAGGGAACAGCTGTATCCTCTCATGGCACTCGAGAGAGGGATATGTGCTACCCACAGAGGGCAGACCAATCGACGGTTGCGGGAGCTCGGGGAATTTTTGTCCTTGTCCCTAGTGCTCGCACTCGGAGTTCTTCACAATAAACCTGACCCTGTGTCCCATCATGTTTCACTAGGGATCGTGGTAAATATTTACCATAACTTCTAACCACCAGGAAAACCGCTCGTAGCTCTACTTTCATCCTAAAAATTACATTTTCCCTGTCTTATTTGTTCAACTTACATACTTCTCTTTTCTATATCTTATTAAAGAGAATCGTCTGGATGACTTTGAACAAATATTATTAATATAGTTTTTTTGTTTTTTTTCTCTCTGTGTTTACATTCTTATCGTCAGTTTACTCTTCGCATTCTTGATGACCATCTAATTTAACTCAAATTTCTTTGAGACGTTGTTCAAAAACAGATTTTCTCTTCTTATCTTTCCAAAGTTTTAATTTCCTCTTTGATCGTTCTCTGATTCAAATTATTCCCCATTCTCCAATATTATGCTCCAGTCATTTAATAACTATGGAACGTTTATTTTTTTTAAATTTATAGTTATCTTCAGCAACGTTGATATGTTGTTTCCACACACACACACACACACACACACACACACACACACACACACAAAAAAAAAAAAAAAGAAACACATCCAATTGTGTGAAATTTTATTTATATTTTTGTATAGGAAAATATAAATATATGACCATTACAGTTTATCTATTTGAACGGAGTCATGATGGAAAAATATTCTTTGTGAAAATACTTTCAAAAGGTGGAAACGTATTTTTATGAATACTTTTTTTTTTAATTTTTTTTTTACTTCTGATCATTGTTAGATAACAGTAGAAAAACACCCTAATTTCAAAACTCTTTCCATTGATTTTCATTTCTGTTATTTTCCATTTCTCTCTTTTTTTTATAC